TTTGATCAGCAGAAAAACTGGGAGGTGGAGTGCTGATACAGTGGAGCCAGGATAYGGCCCTGCTGGCTCCCCATGCCAGGAGGGGAGCAAAGGGCAGCAATGGCAGGAGCCAATACGGCTCTGCCCACACTGGACTTTACCCCCCAGACACTGGTCCCAGGCAGAAAACCCTTCTGTACCCTCTTTGTTGYTTGCCAGGACACAAAATCCCCCTTTTCCCCCTAAAAGACACATGAAGCTATACCTGGAAGCCATTGGGGTATCCATCACCATCACCAAGGGATTCCAGGGGGTCTTCATCATCCAGCGTTGCYCGCTTGTAGGACGACATCTGCACAGGGAGAACAGCAACGGAGGCGCTCAGCAACCGGGGTTGAGGAAGAGGAGGAGGATGAAGAACAAGGAAGGTTTACGCACCTTCTAAAGCCGCCTCCTCCTCTGGAGAGCAAAATCCCGAATGGCTCTGAGGTAGTAAAGCACTACACAAACGCCGGAGGACGGTTATGGAAAGCAAAGAGGGCCGAAGCCAAGAGCTGAGCAAAGCCGAAACCCGCCTCGCTTTCCCCCGGGGCCGGGTTGTGCAACCTCCCCTTCAGGCTGGAATAAAGCCGGATCCACCTCCGCCCTGCAGTGGGGAGAGGGGAACCCCCTGTGCCAGGGAGCCCTGGAGTGCCAGGTACCTGGGAAAGGCTGGCAGCAGAGAAAATGGCTTTTCACCCCGGCGCTACTGGCTCGCTCGCACTCCACGCCCCATCTGTGAACTCTGCACACTGTGCAACACCTGGCCAGGTCCCTGCAAGCACCCGAAGGCGACAGCACCAGCAATTTCAGCTGTGGAAGGGCTCCCTCTCAGTGCCGTATCCCCTGGGCATTATCTTGTGCCCGTGCCCGGCTCTTATCTCATCCCCCGGCAGAAAAACAAGGAAAACCTCACTGGTTGGCAGCCAGCCCTTATCGTGCCGCCGCCGTTTCCTTCCCCCTGGCACTGCCCTGCCGTCCAGAAGGAGAAAACAACCCTTCCACTCACCACCGAGCACCCMAAAATCCACCCTGACCCTCCCACTGATGGCCCRAGTAGCACCACTCATATCCCTTCACCCCAATCAATGCAGGGAGGGSGTTTACATACATCTGGATGTCCCCATCCCGATGCCATCAATCCCAAAGGGATTGAGTTGATCCAAACCCGGCACAGCTGTGCCTCAGTTTCCCCTGGCAGAATGAAAGCACCAGTTCTCCACCTTGTTTTCAACAGCAGCATTCCCAAACCTCCCCTTGCACACTCAACAACCAATCCCATCCTCTCCCTGGATCCCAAATCCCAGCCTCAGTTTAATTAACCATAAAACCCACCTGGGGAAGAGGAAGGGTTAAAACAAAAAGGTGGTTTCTTTCCTTGGTTGTAGCAAAATCTCTTTGCAGCCCCAAAACATCCCCTGGGTACCAGGCACCAACCTGGAGCCTGAGAACCGTGGGGCAAAAGAGCCTCAACTGCAAGATTTTATCGAGGGGAAAATCTGCGTTTAGAKCCTATTTTTTTCCAACTCCTTTTAGTACTTTGCACATGGCTGAAACTGGCAGCTCTGGGCACAAATCCCCACTATTGCAGTGGGGCAATCCATGAAGCCCCCATGGCTCCGCAACACCAAATTCCTGGAATCCCAGCTTTCACTCCAATTCCTGAGGAAATGCAATTTTTTTTTCCCTCAGCAATCGCCCCACCGCGCCTACCCCAGCCTGAAAGCAGAAGAAAAAGGACAAAAAAAAAGAAACAAAACCCAACCCCCTTATGTTCTCCTTTCACAAGGGATGTGCYGGCTCAAGCCTGTATCACCCATCAGAGAATCCAAATTGAACCCGAGCTCCCTGCTGGGGAGGCATTGGGATCGACCCCCAGCACCCTTAATTTGGGGGGAAATGGGGCCCGGGAGGTATTTTTAACACTCGTACCCTCCATATTGGGGGCACAGTAGCACCTATGGGTGCTCCCCACCTTTCTCCAGCTCGTGAAGAGGCAGCACTCCTTTTTTGGGACAAAAAGGGGTAGATTTTGTCATACACCTCCCTCTTCTAAGCCGTCGTTTCAATCTGAATAAAAACGCGTTTTCCCAGCTCCAAGAGGGTGGGGGGCACCCAGGGGTGTGCGGGGAGAGGGGCACCCACACCTTAACCCCCYACACAAGGGATCTGCACTCTCCTTACAACTTATAAAAATCTCATCATTACCTTAAATAGCCATGATTTGCCCCAAATCGCTCCTTCGCTTTATAAACAATAAGCCCCACGTGCTCGGAGGGCGTACACCCCCAGAAAGGCTGGGGGTCCCCCCGCACCCGGCTCGGCCCCCGGGACAGCCCCCGCCGCTCCCGGGCACCCCGAGCTCCGCCGGCTGCTTTCAATTCCCGCCCGGACGCCATTTCGGAGCAGCCACGGCCACGATCGCCATAGCGATTCCTCCCCTCGCCAAGCCCCTCCGACCCTCCCACTCCCCCCCGAGCCCCGCCAAGTCACCCCCGCACCCCCAAAGCCCCGTCCGGCAAAGCGGTGCCCGCCCACCCCTCTCCCAGCACCCATGAGTGCCCCCGCACCTCCACAGCCCGGAATCAGCGCCTAGCCAGGCTCAGCCTGGTAATTAGGATGTCCGGGGGTAATTAGCAACCCCTGGTGTTAATTAGGGGTGCCAGTGTTAACTAAAGGTATTGGAAAGGGGAGTTGGGGGAGCTTCCCGTTTTGCAGGGAGCCCCGGCTGCAGATAAATTAATTTTTAAAAACCCCAAACTTAATAAAAAGCAGCAAAAATAGG